ACTTGCTGAGCAATAATGAGAAAAAGTACAGAAAACGAAATTCCTAGTCGATCTATGTCACACCGAAAGAACCCTATATAAATACCTCAACGCCTTGCTTTTCAACGCTACTCCAACGTGTTTTCCATTGCCTGACGTTCCCTACTTGGTCATTTGTACATTTTGTTTTTATCCCTCTTTACACGTTCTACGATCCAAGTTAAAATTTTTATAGATTTTTTATTTATTTCACCTCCATTCTTATCATTATCATCGGTTTTTGCAAATATTTTTCATTTATATACATTTAACAAAATTAAAATAAAATAAAAAATTGATATAAACGAATATTTATATTAAAATTGAATACTATAACATTTAAATCAATATAAAACTGCTAATACGCATTAAAGGATAGTGGAAATATTGAAATGAAAATTCTATTGTTATATAGTTACTTCTCTTTTATCAGAATATAAAAATTTTTATTACGATATTACTTCACTTGCAAGACAACGAAATTTTTATCTTAAAAAAATAATACAGCATCTCAATATTGTATTTCTTTTGAATAATAAAAACGCGAAAGGAAATTAAAATAAATTATTTTTATTTTCCAAAGTCAATTGACTTTAAGGATTAATAAATAATGCACAATTCAATAGCTGATAGATTAATTAATTATATAATAATAAAAAACAATAATTAATTAATAATCAATTATTAATAATTGAGAATTTAAATATTTTTATTGTATGATAATAATAAAATACCCCCCAAATTTATAATAATATTAATTAAAACGAATTTACATTAAAAAAGATGGTAAGTTTTTTTTTTTATTTAAGGAAATATATTTTATTATCAACACAATTGTAGATAATAACATTTTTGTTGAGTTGACACTGTTTAGTAGAACGATTATAAAATTATTGTATATGAGTCAGTTCGTAATAACTTGGCAAGTGTACACTATTGACTTTTATCTCTTTGGGGGAAAACTGGAATGAAGAAAGAATCGTTACGGACCATGATAAAACAAAAAAAGAATGGAGCAATTAGTAGTCGGGAAAACATGTAGAATCGTCTCATACATCTTTTCCATCATGTTATTTTCATTTTCTTTTATTACACATCTGATAAATAAATAAAATTTGTGCTCAGAATTTTAAAAAGTTATAGTCAGGATTTTTGATATATAAACAGATTTAGTGGACTTGAAAAATACTCATGAAAAAATTTTAGAACCATGAAATCTCTAAAACTGAATGTTCTTTTCTTTATATGGCTTTAAAACAATTATTCTTTGAACACTTAATTAAAAGAAGATTTATAAATTAATTTATCCTTAATAATTAACTGAGTAATAGAAAATAAATCATTTAAATGAAACATTCATTTAATTAATTAACTAAAAGATTTAATAACTGACAAGAGAAAAGTTTGTTGCAGTTTCAGTTTCCACTCTCTAAAAATAAAACAGTGAAAATATTGAAAGATCGGCAAAATCAGTGAATATTCATCAATTTTGTAGCATAAATTGAACCACTGTTTGAATCAGCTGTACTATATTCACTGATTCTGCAATCCATTTCATTATTTTTACTGTTTCAAAAACATTGGAAGCTACATCTATGCTAAATATTTAAAACAACTTGGTATTAATTTAATGTCATTACTTTTAATAATAAAAATAGGAAATTTAATAAAATTTTATCATAATACATGTTTTATTGACTCGACTATAAAGGTTTATTTTTAAACAAATAAATAGAAAGATATAATATCAAAATAGATAGCTGTTATGTAATAGTAGATTTTAGGATAAAAATATGTTATTACTCTGAAATAAAAGCGACATATTCGTAAAATCTATCAATATAACTTCAATTATCGTTTATCCTTGATTCTTTGAAATTCCATAAATAGTTGAATGAACGGTCCTTTTTGAATTCTATTACGTTTCTAGACTATGATCGTGATGCCTGTTTAAGGTTTCGATCAGAATAGAGATGGAGATTTCTCTATCTTTTCCTCCCTGTCATCTATTCATCTGACGCTTACTCTCTCTTCGACTACCAATGTCTCTTTGCTACGGAATAGAGAACGGGTTCGTCTCTTCCCTTACCACCTTCTCATCCCCTTCAAGCCAACGACTTCTCTTCCTCCCTGACAATTACGTTGCGCGTGCCTTGACTAGAGAAACATATACCACAACTACCCGACCCCGTGGTTCTCGGTCACCCTCACAACCCTCCATTCTTCCTCCAATATACCCATTCTAGCGCCACATGTTCGGCCCTTGTCACCCCTATTTCTCTCCTTCTACCTTCACTTCTTGTCCTTTTTCTCAATAACCTTAACCCCTTGGACCTTATTCCAATGCTTTACCAACATTTTTCACTGTACCAGATGTCATACAACCAAACCAAATAACACAACTTGCCAGTTATATCGTTTAGTGTACAGTAATAATAAGTCATACGTTTATAGCATATATAACTATTTTATCTACTTTTTTTTTTTCTTTAAATCGATATAAATCAATTTATCTTCAATTTTGATTTCTCCAACAAATGATGATTTGTTTGTATAACTAACAATTTGATAAAAGAGAATGAAGCAGTGTTTCATATTTATTATATCTAATAAAAAGGTTTACGCCTGGGGCAAGTTTAATCCACAAATATGTTGTTGTATTTCGAAATCATTATTTGATAAGTCTCCTTTTTTACTCTAAACCATAAAATTACTTTGTTACCCTGTACTGCTAATTGTAGTATTGTATTTCAATGCACTAAAAGTGTTTAAATACACCTCACTCATTTAATTAACATAATAGTTACTTTTTAAATTTAAATTAACTATCTCGCCTTTAACATCTTTTTGAGAATGAATCAGTGAATATTCATTAATTGCAGTGACAATAATAATAATTTAAAACAAAATGAATCAGTGAAAATCACTGCAAGACTAATTATTTCATAATTCACTCTAGTGTTTCTATGTAAAAATTTTAAAGGTAATCTTTAATTACTCTTCACAGACTGATATTGTTTAAGAAAGGTATGAATAAATCATCCTTAAAAATTATTAATTAACGAAAAACCAGTCACTCAATTTTTGATATATTTTAATTATTGTCTAACTTCATTCATAAATTTATTTAAATTTATAATATCATAAAAATAACGACTTAGAAATTATTAAAAACTTTTTAAAAGTTTATTAAAGGGAAGATGAATTATGACAGATTGAAAAAGACATCTGGTCTACTCTAGTTTCAGTCATAAACTAAATATGAACAAATTAGTTTAGCATTGTACTGTCAACATATATAGATATCAATATAACCAAATATTTTATAATACAAATAATATGAATTATTGATAAAACTCATCAAACTTTACTTTAATAAAATATTAAATGAAAAAAATAAAATAATTGATAAAACTATGTAGTTTATTGTAAATATTAATTAATTAATTGTTATGTTGTTGATAAAATTGAAAGAATAAATGTATAAAATGTGGATAAAAAAACAAATAAAGTGTAAAAATTCAAAGCTTGCTAAATTTACAGTGGATTAGACGCATAGGAAGTGTAAAGAATAGCGAGAGTTTAGTAGGTAGAGAATAGAAAGAAACACGAGCACGAGATTACATGGTAGAAGGGAAGGAAAGTGGATGGAGTCACAAACGTACAGACAACTCTGGCCAGACTGGACGGCGCTGAACTCGTCGCACTCGTGGTAAACAAAGCTGTAACTCTCTTCGCACTAAAGAATCAATGCTGCCCTTTACTTGGAAACAAACTTGAGTTCAGCATCCATCTTATTTCTAGATTTATGCATATTGATGCACAAAAGAGTAGTGCTTCGACGCCAAACATCCATCGATCCAATAAACAATCGTCCATATATATATATAGATAATCCTCTCTTAAGAAATATCGAAAAAAATTGTCTACGTATCTTTTGATAGAAATAAACGACAATTTTCTCTTTAAGCAAATCTTCGTATGCTATTTGATCGACCGAGATAGTAACGGTTTTATCACAGACACTATCGTAATAAGTCTTGTTGACAATATATAGCTTTGACTATATATAAAATATATATATATATGTATATGAAAGAATGCAAGCTCTTCGTAGGAGCAAAGTACACATTACGCAACGCGTTATATATGATGAAAAAGTACCTGCCGTCTTTTTATTTCTCCGGGGATTGTACTGGCTTTACCTACCTACCGTAAGTGTGTACGTTATACGTTTTACATTCCAAAGATCAGAACTCACTTTTCTCATCTCAACAAAGAAGTACAAATATTTTATTTTCAAATGACAACAAATAGAATAGAAGTGTCAAATATATGGTATACTATGTTGTATTGATAAAAAGCCATTTCTGCTAAAAACTAAGAAAAACTTTCTAGGATAACATGATAAATATGTTTGAGTTGTTGCGTTAATATTTCATATTCAAACAGTGATGCGTAATGTTTTGATTATAATGGAAAATAACTTATCTAATGAATTTTAAATGATTGATGATTGTTTTTTTGAAATTAAGCTTTGTTTATTTTCCATGGAACTATTATTTTTTTTTTTTTGAATAAATATGTTAGATTTTATGATTAATACAATGATTAGAGCATGTCTGACTATACTCGAGAATTTTCACTAATTTTATTAATTGAATTTCTGCTAACGTCACATTCAAACAGCTACGTGATATCTATCATAATTGTTGGAATTATTTGTAAAATTCACATTTCTACATCTAGTTATTACAAAAAGCTCTGCTATAATTTATTCTCTTTGGTGAATTCTTGCTACAATACTGAACATAATCTTTTCCACACTATTTCGTATATGGAGCAAGACATTTCAATAAATTAAGTTTGCAAATATTTTTTTTTATTAATTGAAATAAAAACTAAAATCCGTTTGGTTTTAATTTCGAGAATATTTATCTAAATATTGGCATGTAAATTTTTATAGAAAAAAATAATCTTACCTTTTTTTTCGATCAATTGATTGATTTAAAAGCTCACCACTACTAAAATATATTAACTCATTGAATTTTCACCGTTAAACACTAGTTATAAACAATAAATTTAGAAAAATGATGCACTAAACACCCAGATAATAACAACTGACGCTTTATTATAATCACTAACTTACTAATTATAAACTATTTATGAATTTATATGCGCATTAACTTCTTTAAGTTGAGAAATTAATAAAAATACTGAAATTTAATGTCTTTAACAATTAATAGTTTTATAAGAATAATTTTGATTTTTGTTAATAAATAGTAAATTCAGAACAATGATGCACTAAATACCCAGATAATGGCAAATGACGCATCAAAATGGCTGACGCACTAATTATAACATATTTCTGAATTTATCCGGCATGTGAAGTTGGCCAAAAATCGATATATATCGAAAATGGAGCGTCTTTCTGCTTATTGGATGATAATGTGAATCTTGTAATCAATCAGAATAAAGACGCTCCATTTTCGATATATATCGATTTTTGGCCAACTTCACATGCCGGATAAATTCAGAAATAGGTTATAATTAGTGCGTCAGCCATTTTGATGCGTCATTTGCCATTATCTGGGTATTTAGTGCATCATTGTTCTGAATTTACTATTTATTAACAAAAATCAAAATTATTCTTATAAAACTATTAATTGTTAAAGACATTAAATTTCAGTATTTTTATTAATTTCTCAACTTAAAGAAGTTAATGCACACTAAGAAAATTTTTTATTGCACATAAATATAAATAGTGCTTCGATTCTAGTATATAAATAAAAACAAAAACCTTTTGTGGTCTAATAAACTTTTGCTCACCATATGTAAAACATTATTCACTGGTACAAGATATTTTCTCAACCAACTTAATAAAATTTAAATATGGTAAAGAGTTATGTAAAACTAAACATTGTTCATTACAATCATAACAGAAGCTACGATGTTGGAAAGTAAATGTTTTACTTTTTTAGTCAAAAAAAAAAAATTGCCTCAGAGTGCTTTATGAAAAAATGGACAGCAGAAATTTTAATACAGCTTTTTGTATTAAAGTGTTGGAAATTTATTACAGTATTTTTAAGATGTACATGTCCATATTACAATGTAGAGCAATTTTTCTGTTACAATAACTTGGAAGTAAATTGAGATATTGACTTTCAGCCAACAACATTCAGATTACTATACATTGGTATCAACAAGGTTATATTAAAAGTATGTTATAATCAATTAAACTATTTTTTATTCTTTAACAAAACTATTACAATAAACTTTGTTATTCATTTTTTATTAGTAATTAACAAAAATGATTTAACAATAGTTATTTATTCAACTTGGAATAAAAATGTAGTGTTTAAAGATACATAAACAATCGTTGATGATTATCACCAATTATAATAAAAAAAAGCTGATTACTATCCATAGCTTAGTCTATTTTAATTAATATTCACGTTTAATTTTTTTTTATAATTAAAATAAATCAAAGAAACTTTTTCTTTTTTTATTTAAATTCAAGTTATTAACAGTATTCATATTAACAAGACCATATTCTAAAGGTAGATAAGTTGGTTGATGTCTCTGATGTTTTTTTCTTTGATGAATTATCATTCAAGTATATTATATGGATATGTATGTACATGGGTCAATTAAACCAAATCGATAATATTAATATTATATTATGAATGTCATATTTAGATAACGAATATTACAGTAATGAACTTAGATTCAGTGTAATAATATAGAGATGACCCTGGAATAACATGATTAGTTTGTTTCGTGTCATATTTACCATACACTGTTCTACACCCTATACAATTCAGATGCTATGTATCTATAACCTAGTATGATATGGTTCATTGTGTAAACTAATCATTATTGTTATTATTACATTATCTAAAATAACGGAAACTGACTATTGTAATATGAGTAGAAGATTCTTTTAGACTAAACAAAGTTCTGATTAGGTTTGTTTTATCAGAAATTCAATCCCATATGAGCAACTCTTGGACTTCAAAAATATGTTACTGAATATGTAAATAAGTGTAACTTATTCGAATACAGTAATTTTAAATCTGTGATCATTTTAGTAGCAAATATATGCAGGCTAATGATCAAATTTACAATAAGATCTCTTAACCTGGAATATCAATATTTAAAATATAGCGAAATTCTATATTTGATAGCTCTTTGTTTTGATAATCTATAACTTGCACTTCTATATTTGTATTTTAATTAGAACGGATTCAAATTGAATAAACAATTGTTTAGTATAAATAACATCATAGTCGACAGATTTTTATTTATAATTTTTTGATAAAATAATTTAATACATTAAAGATAACATAAAATAATTTCAAGTAATTGCATATTTAAAAATAAGGAAAAGTAATAGTTAATAAATACTGACCACCAGAAGTAATTTTAATTATCGAAAAGCATAATTAATATTTTAAATCAACATTTACTTTTTGTGTTACGAATGTAAGCCAATAATGGATACAAAAATTGTTGTTTCAGGTTGCTTGGATGTTATTTGATAAAAGTGCAATTCTGACTGTTCACAATCATGTGATTACAAGAAATCCAAGAATATCAGTATCGCATGACAAGCATAGAACATGGTACCTACATATCAACAATGTACATGAAGATGATAAAGGGAAATATATGTGCCAAATAAATACAGCAACAGCAAAAACTCAATATGGATACTTGGATGTCGTAGGTAATTAACATTTATTATTTAAAACTCATTCCATTTGAATCCCTTTGTTAAAAAAAAATCATTTGAAAATTATGAAAAAGATAATTTTTATTTCAATACACAACAACATTGATTACTTTTTTTTTGTCTGAAGAAATGAGAAATTACGTAAGATTGCGGAGAAAACGGAAAGGATAGCAGCCGTTTATCTAGCAGTACTCAAGAGACAATAATAATTTAATCGGAATAGGGTGCTCAGTACGCTTGAACCTTGTGCTGTCATCCAAGATAACATATTAATATCTCCAGTTTTGACATCTCCGCGGAGAACAAGAGTCAGAGAAGTACTCGGAAAGCTAGATTAATTATTTCTATGAGACTCTTGGCCTCAATGTTTAGTACCGGATATCTGAGATTTTCTTGACATTTGCCTATGTACAGCCAAGTCTTAGAGGTGAAGATTGAGTATCAATATTTATCAAAAGAAATACTTAACCACTTTATAACAAATATATCATTATTTTTATGCTTTAGATAACATTTAAAGCTATGCCTTATTTAAAATGGAATTTCAAATCTTTTCAATTCGTTTCGGTCTTCTTTTAATGGTTGATTTTAAAAATATCCAAATCAGATATTTTATAACACGATGGTATTTAATTTTCTTTAAAAATATCTAAAAACACAAAAATTTATAATAATAAAAATTTTATATCACAATGCAATAAGAGTGAAGGAATTTTTATTTAAATATTATTATTAAAACTACAATTCTTGAAAGAAATGTTACTCTTTGTAGATAATTCTTTTTATATTGTTTGCTAAACAGTTTCTTTTATAATGATATATGTTTCTAATTGAAAAAAAAATTTTTTTTATTGCATTTATTATTTATTATACAAGTATTATTAATTAAGAGCTTTCAATTATTGAATAAGCCAATTAAAAGCAGAGATTTGGTCTTTAACTCAATTAAAAGCCATGCGTATGAATCTTTTGTATTCATATCTCTACATTTGTACCATTCTCACTTTTGTCACATATCTTTTAAAGGATAATTTCCACCACTTAACTCTCCTCTAGTGTTTATGCTTTTGCAATTCTATCAATTAACCTAAAATTGTCATAGACGACAGTAAAAGTTAACATTGTTGAAAAAATTTCTAATTTTTTATACAAAGTACCAAGATAATGTTTAATTTATTTCAATATTAGAGTTTAAAGAGAGAGTAAGAGATTAATAAAATGTTATTTTTATTATTATGTAGTGCCACCTAATATTGATGATGCTCAGAGTTCATCGGATGCAATTGTTCGAGAGAATGCTAATGTTACACTCACCTGTAAAGCTACTGGCAGTCCTACACCAAGTATTCGATGGAAACGTGATGATAATGAAAAAATTGTGATCAACAAAACACTTGAAGGTTCGTAAAATACTATGTTTTGATTAGAATATGATTTTTTTAATGAATTTACATGAATGTATGATGTTAATGCACTGTAAATCCAGTGTTTAAAAGGATTAAACACTTTTCAAGTACAAGATTTATAGTGTGAAAAATAAAAATATATCCAAAAATTTAGCAAGAACTAGATCTCTAGCAGGATAAAAGACTGGCTCATTTATGGCCCAGCATTGGGTCTGGCATAAAGTTATCATTCAGTAATGATTCTGTACTCAGCCATGACTGGATGATAAATTCATTTACTGGCAAGTCTAGCATACTCTACTAGGGCATAGAGCTACATAAATAATTACTGAATGGTCCTGGTTTTATTTTAAATCGCTATCTAGGACAGTTGAATCATAGATGGGTCTGTTGTGCTGTCCTTCTAGTGATGAAAAAGAAAAGACTTTGAATCAAAATAAAAACTGAAGATATTCAATAATTGAACAATTAACAATCTAATATCACTAGGAATCTGATAATAAAGACTTTTGTTCTCCCTGTTTTATTCAATATGACTTGATAGATGATGTGTGATGTGAGAAGTACTTACTATATTGTTATTCTTTTCAAAGTTAAGTCAAACTTCTAACTTACTCAGAATTCTTAATGGTTTATATAATAGGATTGAATTAGTAGAATTTGTTTCGTGAAATTTTTTTTTTCCTGTATGATTTTTTCTTAATCGGAGAACAAAGAAAATAGATTATTAGCCATTTATCAATGAATGGTACTAAAGAACAAAAATTCAATCAAGTTCCCTTTTGGAATGAGCATTCTTATTAGTGATTTTACCCTATTTAGGGTGAGTTAAGCAATGGATGAGTTGTGAATAAAAACAGATATTCCACTTTTATTCTCAAGATTCTTGGAGGATTGATAAATATAGATATTTAGTTTTTAATTAAAAAAAATAAATGACTTCTATGTCTGAAAGTGGGAAAATTATAACAAATTTATATTATTATAGATATTTTTTTCATTCAAAGAATAAAATATACAACTGTAACATAAATCATATCTTCAAAAGTCAATTATTATATAGAAATTTTGAAAAAAAAATTACTTTTAGTTTTTATTATATTATATTTTATATATCTTTTTATACAGTTTGTTATATCTCCTTCCGATATATAAAAGAGATATATTAAATATATAAAACAGGTAATTATAACGTCACCAATTTGATTGACATTGTAGAAATTTTTCACTTTTTCAAATAAGAGAAAAACTTTTATGATGTTAATTAAATGATGATTTAAAAATTCAGATAATTTCGAATATCCATGTTATTATATTTTCAATTTACTTTTAATATTAATTGTCCATCTACTTGACACATAAAATAACAGAAGATTATATACAACATGACGAAAATTGATGAAAATTAAATGACTTTTTCAATCTAAATTGCTATAAAATTTTGTTTGCTATTAACCTAGTCTTTCATAAGTTATCATAGATGAGGCATCTTTCGATTTAATTAATTTCATTATGAACATGCACATTAATTAATGTCTTTTTCAATCACTAACTAATCCATTCACTGTAAATCTGAAGTCTGTTAAAATCTGTATTTTGTGTAAAGAATTGACACAAAAAACTTCAACAGTTTGTTCTTAAAAAAAAAAAGTTAACTTGAAGGATGTCACTAAAAGTAGCAGCAGTCTGAAACACAAATTTTAAGTTAATTTTTCAATATGTAAAAAAAATTAGATTTCTGCAAATAGATAAGTTTAATACTGAATATTTTGTCTAACTATTTTGAGATTTAACTACTTGTTGTAGCCATAAAAAATAAATCAAATGTCATTAAAATTTTATTGATTCTTATTCAAGAAGTGTTTTCGTAAAAATAATTTGAAACATTCTAAATGATAATTCAAAGTCTCATCTATCCAATTTATGAGATCTAAAAAAACAGTAACGCTTATTCGAGTACAAATGTTGGAAAAAAACTTTGATAAACTTATTTTGAGACTTTGACCTGTTTGGAGTAATAAAATTACCCCCAATTTATCATGAAATCATTTTTTCATCTCTACTGTACTCGATTTCAGTTCAAGACAAATTTCAAAAAATTATAAATAATTGTCATTTGACATTAATCGACAGTTTGCTGATCTTGTTATTGAATCAAGCTTGAATTTAATTGCAGTTAAATTTAGCTTTGTCATAAACTTTGTAACTATTAATAATATTTCAAATATTATTTTTGGTTTATTGAAATTTTTTTTGTCGGTTCTAGTGATGGAATGGGAAGGTGAAACATTAGAGATGACACGAATTTCAAGACTCGGTATGGGTGCTTATTTGTGCATAGCAAGCAATGGAGTACCACCTTCTGTCAGCAAGCAGATCAAAGTATCAGTAGATTGTAAGTACATCATATATTATTATAAAAAATTAAATTCATAATTTTATCATTTTTTTCAAACTTAAAAAAACTTTTTAAAATATCAATCCAACAATTTTACCAATTATCATAATTCAAACAATCCTCCAAGCTATTTTGTTACTGATTTATCTAATATCACTGAAAATGTTTTAAAAAATATTCAAAAACCTATTTATTAGAATTTGATAATAGAGGAAGATGTTTGATGTAAATAATATGATTAGTTTGAAGGCTCCAAAACGAATACGATTACATGAGAAACAGATTTCTAGTGACTCAACGTAACATTACATCTGGATATTTCTTCTTATCTTAATAATCACCCTCTCCTTTCTCGATAATCTGAGTTAAACGATCAGTTTAACTTATTCGAATGATGTTTCAAGATTTACTATTGTTGTTTTAAGACAATTATTCATTTGATTTATTGGGTATCATGATTTATTGGATCCAACCCGATAGGTAACTTGGAGATAATAACGACATTATTATATCATATATCAAATATATATTTTATTCAAATGAGTTTTTTTATCTTGATAAGTTTTTGATAGTTATATCCGTCTCATTTAGCTTCTCAATCGATACTAAAGTTATATTTGATTTAGTTAATTGTCTGCTACTGCTATTTGTGTTTTAAATAAGTCAAAGTTGGTCGAGGGAATATTGAAGAGATGTATTCATATTAAAAATTAAATTAATCTATTCACATATTGTTATACGTGGTTTTATCCACTTTTTAAAATACATATTCATACATTTTACAGAATAAAAAAAAATAGTTTGTTTATTGAATATAAATTTGCCAAAAAAAAACAATTTGAATAATCAATAATTTATTTTTTATTAGTTTGAAAGTTTACATGACTCTATCGATAAATGATATAAAAATAATTCAATTTTAATATTATGAATGAATACATGATTTACAAGAGAAAACTGAATTACACATAAACATCAGAATTATTAATTTATCAATAAATTAAAGTTAAAAAAAATCATAGAAAGATTTTCTTGATTTTATTGGCATGATAAAAAAATAAGATGTGAATAAAAATAATCATCAAAACAGAAAATTAAGTAATTCTTTAAAAGAATTTCTTCATACTTGGAAACAATAAGTAATTATAAATTAATTTATTAACCTCCCACATATAATAAGAATTGTTGAAAAATTTGATCAATATTGTTTGATTGATTTTGTAGATTAAATTATTTTCACTACAGCAATTTTTAAGCTTATTTTAAATTGTTCTTAAATCATATTATTCCATTCATGTACTATCTGCTTAATCCTGAATTTTTGTGAACATATCATAGTAAAATTTTGAATTAGCTGGTCGCTTAATTTTTGCTGTAACACGTTTGTCAGTGTACAAACAGGAAGCACAGAGTCCAAGCACGTGAAGATATGGCACGGATTTTTCTCGTTGCTGATTTTAATAACAGATTGCCACTAACGTCAGAAGAACCCAACGGTGCTTATAAAGTCGGGAAAGGTGGAGGAACGTTGAATCACCGCCTATACGTGACTTCGTCTGACCTCAAGCATCTCGTTTGGTATTTTTTGCTCTTTTCAACCAATATCGATTCGCTAATATGAAATTGTTCGTATGAATGAAAAAAACTTTGGATACATGTGAAATTAAAACCCCAAATACTCTTGTGAATCTAATAAAGAATGTATATCAAATACTGGCAAAAAAATTGAAACATTTCTCATTTTTAAAAATATACTAATCTATAAATACCTAGCATACATTCGATAGCAATCGCAGATTAATTAAAAAATAAATTCGTTGGAAGTACAATTTTATGCTTCGATACTTCATTTTGTCATCTATCACTAACACTATGCCAGATGTTTAGATGAAAAAGTGATAGAAATAAGAAGTGAAAAAATTATGAATTTTCAAAAATCAACCCCATCACAATAACTTTCTAACAGATAATTAATAAAATACTGTAAAATAATTATATGTCTTCAACAATGCCTGACTTATTTATTGATATTAATTTACAACTTAGACTAAGAAACATCAAACATCTTCCTTTAATTATGAAATCTTCCTTTCATTTTTAATCAACTTTTAGTTCCTTTAAATCATTTCTCGCGTCATTATTTTATAATATTATTCATCATTAAACTGTGCAATCTAAATTAAAAATATTCTCCCTACATCTCCATGTTAGAAAAAGAAAGTCCCAAAAGAAATTCAAAAAATAACTGCCGAGAAACATTTTAAATTCGAGATGCAATAAAACTTCTTTGGAATTTTCTTTAAACAACCTTGGTAGAAATTTGTCTAATCTTTAGTTAGCTTTCATACGTTGTATGTATTTTGTATCCAAGTGCAAGATTGTGCTATGTAGATTTTTATCTAGAGGAAATACTTATTCAATTCGATTGAAATTATTTGAAGATATCTCAAAGATAAAGTTGCCAGTATACATAAAAATAATTTAAATTCAGCCATTTATTTTATTCACTCTGAAAGACACTTTTCTACATAAAATTAAGTTTGTGGCGAAATCATAAATAAATAATCGATAGTGAAGAGTTAATTTTAAAGCGAGAAATTCAATTAATAAGGTCATGTAATTGTCAATCAGATCCGATTATATATTACTGATATTGCTATCAGTCCCTTTCTTTTATTAGATTCAACCTAAATTGGATGAAGCATATAGAAGATGATATCTCGAAGATTTGTTGATGCCAATCGACTATTCCAAAAGTTTTAATGTCTTTGTAAAACAATAAAATTAGAGATTGCACTTAAGATCTTGGCGTTTTTTCAAATTCAAAGTCATTGCAACATTTCTTTTCTTTAATTTTGTTGGTTTACTTTGTTACTCTTTTTTATTATCATGCATTTTATCAGCTATTGTCGATTTTATTTTGGCATGTTAGTTAAAAAACTCATTAATGTAATTACTTTGTTCATAAACCTACAGTTTCGGAAACAAAGGAAAGATGTAGCAAGGAAGAAATTAGAGTTGATAAAGTTTGTATTATACGCTATGAATTATACATTCAAGAGAAAGTATGAAATAATAATGATGGAAAAGTTTAAAAAAAAAGATTGATTTTTCTTCTATGGAATTTTATTTTCCATACAAGATAATGAAAAAAATATACAAAATTTATTATTATCATTTTAATATTTAATAAGATCATTTCAAAAAAAAAAACAGAACTTTATTCTTCTTATCAAAACTTTCTAATCAATAGGAATAATAATTTAAAAAAAGAGATTGATTGTAATTACAACTTTTATTTTTGTTCAGATTTTAATTAACTTCATTTTCATGATGAATGGCAAACAACAGAATGCATGAGAGTGTACATATTTTTCAAATAGTTGATCAAAGTCATAAAAGTTGTGGTGCTTTTAATGACAACTATGTTGTTACAAACTCTGCTTTATTCCCAATAAAAGAATTTAACAAATATTGACATTCATTTTACATAATAATATTCTAGAATGTATTGATTATTATAGTGATATTGTTAGAGACACATGGATACTGAAATATTTATCGAAAAAATTGAGGTAACAGGGTAAAAGTTCATTCGTGAATTTTCAAGTATTGAAAGGTAGTAAATGATTTTTTCTCATAAATGTTCCATTTCCTATCGTTATCCAATTTAAACTTTAAGAATAATTTGTTCTTATTCTTCTGTACATTTTTTTCCTTTCTGACAAAGAATTAGAATTGAAACATTCTTTGGAGATTTAGTTAGAATTATTAATGATTGAAAAATAGATTCTTTATATTGATTTTTAGAAACATTTGTAATGATTAGAATTTTTAAAAAATATTATACTACTTGACTCCAACTAGAAAATAGTAATCATACCATTAAAAACAATCATTCTGATTTCTCTCCTAAATTATATTCTTTCAAGTCACAATTGAATGAACAGATGAAAGGCAGATTGATGATGATCGAAAATTAAAGAAGAAAAAAAAATGATAAATGATTTTCTAAGTTTTTATTTTTGGTTTTTTAAAATGGATATTTTAATAACTCAACTGTGTGTAGCAAACATGTGGTCTAGACACAAAACATGATACATAACATGTTATAAGTACTTTATACCTCTGCAGTTACATGAAAAGCAGAATCATGTACGTATAATTGCAGCTCATTGTAAAGTTACAAATATTTATAAAAAACAACGATTCTATATTTAATATATTCTGCTAATAAATGTTGATGAGCTGATAAATTGTTCTATCATCAATACAGAGTTACTGAAGCATTCAAACTTTTTTATAATAATAAAAAATATTTTTAATTTTTAAATGCTATTCATGAACTTTACGTGGTTAGTTATCTTTAGATAAATTAATTTCTTTTATCTTGATAATCATTTTCAAAGTTAAATTATTGATTTACTAATGAACGTATGTATACTGGGTCGAAAATGAATCATTATACTTGGTAAGTACGTGATGGTGATGATGGATATTAAATATAGATATATATATATATTATATATGTGCAAATCATGTTCACAGAGAAGTACAATTTAGTTTGCATTTTTATCTCATTTACTTAATTTTCATTTTGATATATCACGTCACTATTACGTATTGTAATAATTGTGAATTTAATAATTATGTTGAATTCTCTGAACAAAAATGAATCTTATTTAGTTAATATTTTGTTTATTTTATTTCATAGTTTTTTAAATATTCAACTTATGGTTAAACTCAACACTTAGTTATAAACATATTTTTAAAGAAAAGAACCAAGGCCCAACCCTGTTTTATGACTTCAGACACTTGGGTCATACAAAGGACTCTTTCTTTATTAAGTTTTATTTGGTACTCTATCTTCAGAGTATTGCATGTGTTTTATTTATTATAACCATCTGTAATGTTTAAACAAATAGAGAAGAGGCTTAGATCTCTTTGTCTAAATAATACTTCAGTTTAAAGTCTTTAGTTAGTTCTGTACGACTATC